AAGATTTTTATCAAAACCCAGCTGAAACTAAAATGATTCAAAGATTATTGGATAATTTCTCATTTTTTTTTTAAACGTCATTCATACTTCGCGCTTCATTTTTACTCGAAATGGGCTTTCGTAAAAAAATTCTCCCTGGCTTTTGTGCGGTTTCCTTTCTTTGGTCGCATAAGTCTGCTCCCGGAACATGTTGAACTGAGGCTTGAAAAAGAGTTTAATATGGCAAAATGAGTATACCTTGATCGCAAGAAAAGTCAAGCAAAGACTCGCAAATTTTTATTTTTTTCGGCTGTAACATATGTACGGAGTTTGAAGTAAAAAAATCGTGAAAAATGGAATTTCCAGTAGACAGCTAGCTTAATTGACGTTACACGGTTGGTCGGAGTGAAGCGAAAAGGAATAACGGAGAGCTAAAATATCCGAGAAAATTAAAAAAAGTCTCACTGGTTTCCTTCTCCCCGAACAACTCGGAAGGCGGAAGAAAAGAAGAAGAAGACGTAGCATCACAGCTTGCTTCCGATGCAAGTATATAAAAGATAAGGTACTCGAGCACACAAGTGGGACGGTTGGTGAGGCGCTGTTGAAATCAGATTGGCGTTGTTTTTCCCGATGCCGCGCACATTTCTCCTTGGCTTTTCAATGCAAGAGCGCAACTGCAGCAGCACTGCGAGCACCACTTTTCTCTCCGCGTGGCTTCCCAACCCTACGACTAACCTTTTCAAACCTCTGTGACGAGGTTCTGTCCTTTTCACTTTTCCTTCCATTTCGAGGATAGTACGTACAACCTTTCTCTCTCTCTCTCTCTCTCTTTCTTTTTCAAGTCTTCACCGGTTTCTATATCGATAATATGTTAGTGCTCCTCGGTGATATCGATTTCGTTTCTAGAGAGAAAAGGAGATGCTAAATTCTTCGATTTTTCACGAGCATGACGTTCCGAACGTTCAAGCTGAACAAAGTTGTGGTAATGAGACTATTAAGGTCCACTTCCTACATGATAATCAATTAATATCACAGTAATATTAGTACTACATAAAAGAGACTCGTATAATAGTATATATACATCCTGAGTAAATAAAAACAGCATGAAATCATCAACGCGTTTACAGATCCATTAACACGTGCATTACTGCTTGTTCGAGCCTCGAGCTGCAAATCTAATACTTTCTCTATTCTGCGTCGTTCCTGCTGAAACTTTTTCGGCCGATAGGCGGTAATATCTCCACTCCGTTAATAGGTCTATCACCAAGCAGTGTGGTGCGATTCGCTGCCACGATTCTCGATGAATTATCCTTGTCCAAGCAAGAGATTTGAAAAAATAAAGAGGATTGCGCGGAGGACAGGTCGGGAGTTTTTGCTCGTTTTACGGTATGCTCGCGATGTAACTCGCGCGCACGCCGGATCCGAATGATAGCCGGCAGCTCAGGTATTTTCACGCGCAGCCGCGCGGTCTCTTGCAAAATGTATGGCGCCCGTCGACGTACACCGACAAACGTATCGTTGCGCGAGGGCAAGCGCAAATGTAGTCTACGTTGCACGGTGGCGCGTCTACCGATCCACTCGAACAATTCATTTATCGCGCGAGCAAACCATAATGATAACAACAACAGCAATAACAACGGCAACAATGGGGCTCGCTTAATCTGACGTTTGCCCACGATACGTACCATGCGCAGGTCGGAATGTTTACCCTTTCGATGCGCTGGGATTCCATACGCGCTTTCAACGGGCGAGCGATGCGGCTGCTGCTGCTATGCGCGGATTATATCGGCGTTGCGTCGAATTTTTTTGGTTTTATTTATTTATTTACTTTTTTTTTTTGTTCGAGAATCCTCGAAACTCGACTCCAACAGAGAGTGCAGACGGAAAACAAGGAGTTTTGTGCGAGGCTTATAGATAGAAAATTTTAATGTATCAGTAGCTCGGCTGTAAGCTCTCGACGTATTGATATGTTGAACAGATGTAACTGAAAACAGTGATAAAAGGGAATCTATTTTTGCTCTTTTCAACTTTCAAGTCCACGAGAAAGTCATTGTTTGGTCAGATTCAAAGTGATTCTTGCCCAGTTCGAATCATTTTTTGTAAAAAAAACCATGTTTCAGTAATTCAACGAAAGCCTAGAAACATTGATATCATAAAACTTTTTAACATTTCGATGATTCTTATGGAAATAAACAGATTTTATGTGTTTCACGAGATCTAACGCAAAGAAATTTTTATAAATGAAGAAGAGCACATTTTATATGGTTTGATACCGAAAAGTACTATCTTGAACATTACTTTTACACAAACGTATTTCTCTGGAATTTGCATAAACATTTGTAATAAACCTGCTGTCGTTCCAAAGGTTTTTTGAAAGTCCAAACATGCTGACGTTCGTGAGGGCTTTCCGTTTGATGTATTTAATAAAAGCCAACTTGATTTTTACGAATAACAAAAGTTGTTGTAACTACTGACGACGATTCGTTCAAATGAAAAACCAGAAGAAACATCATCTTAGAACCGCTGAAAATCGATTAACGGGCATCAAAGTGCTAAGTTTAACCGAGAGCCCAAGCAACCCCTTCGGTAACTTGCTTGTTTCTTATACGTATGCGGTTTAGACACTGCAAGTTTCTGATTGCGAAGGGAAGTTTCGCTTTGTGTCGGCGACGCCGCCAGCCCAGGTTTCCTACCTGCTAACTGGACGCGGATTTTCTCAGTCGCGCGCTTGCGCTTGGCCCGTCGCCAACTGTGACACGGAACTTTGCCTATTAATTGAATGACCAATCGAAGCCGCGTACGCATGTCAAAGGGACGACCCGCTGACCAATCCAATTGTTAAGAAGTGGCGCTGTCTTGAAGGAACGGCTGCACGAGGCGTCGTTCAAACTTGTATTCCATGACTCTCAAACTGTAGTCGTGAACATACTTGATGTCTTCACCTTTTTTCCTGGCAAATATTCCGTCCTCGATTGTACTATTGCTTATTTGGGAATACGCGATGAGAAACGAAACTATAAACTTTTGTCAGAAGCTACAAACAATCAGATATGAAACCGTTCCAGATAATATTGTATGTACAATTATTCATTGAGTTAATCTAATTTACAGTCTAAATATACTTACGAAATACATGCAGGCGGCTATAAAATGTAAGTAGAAAATCTAACAAATGTCCATTTTTCTCCGTATATATCATAATCAACAAGAAATCTGCTCCTCCTCTGCCTTCCAGGTTCATTAAAAACTTCTTGCAGGGTTAGTTCAATCAATGTTACCGTTAAACGGGCTACAATTTTTCTGTTCAAAGTTGATTCTCTTGTTGGCGTGTCTACAAATATTTAATAGATTAGAAACTAAAACTTAACATTCTGCCAATAAATAAAATTGTGTTGTAAATAAATCAACGGAAAACTTGCGCGCCTGATACGTAAATTGACGCATCGTACACGGAAAACTAGCGCGGAAAAGTGTGTACGATGAAAAGTAAATAATAACATTTTTCTAATTTATTGTTGCGCTGTTATTGAAAAAAAATGTTATTTTATTACGTTTTCATTATTTTTGTAATTTGTGGATTATAGATAATGTTATGGTTTGTTATTAGTAAATACGCTGCGTTATCTATCTCGCCGAAGCGTCTAATTGGATCTTTCTCGAAATCTCGTTTATATTCTCGAATTCGCGCTTTCCACACGTCGTTTTGATGAACACCGTAGCTAACATATTCAACAAAGTGATTCTCGTCTCGGGTGGCTTTCCACCCTCACTTGGCTTGGACTTAAACCTCACATTAGACAACATTTTACTTTCCTGCTTTAGTCTGGTAAAGTACTATAATAAAACAGTCCATTTGATCAAGAAGTTAAATATATACATTCAACAAAACTTCTGCTCTTTGATTTTGCATACAATGTTGGCAATGGTAATTAATATTTTCATTATTGCGTAAATCATGTTTTCATCGGATACTTTTCTTGTATAGTAGCAAAAAGAAGCTCTATAATAACATAATCACTGCTGAAGAATTAACAAGAGTAACTACCGTGGGAATGCTCGAGTATGTATGAATGTGATTCAGATTTAAGAACGAACATCGCTCTGTTTATATTTTCTGAGATTTTTAGAAAACCATAAAATTGTAACACGTTACTTAACTGTATTGTGCACAGAACGACATGGTATCGCCGATAACGAGATTGAATCGGAAACCTCATAGTTGTGCACTATATAGCTCATAGTTAGTCTATATGAGACGATTCTTTAGTGTAGACGTGCCTTTCTTTATTCACTATGAATCAATTCTTTCTAGTTCAAGCATATTTCTGAATTAATTTTTAATAACAAATAACTCCATGATCGTACATTTATGAATATTTACTTAATGATAAAAAGTGAAAGTAAATTTTTGACTCAAAGAAGATCATTTTCAAAGATAAATGATAAAAATGCCAATTTATTTACTTATCAAATACAGTGTATCAATAATGTAAAAGAAGATATCTTTTCTCTCACATTATTCATACACTAAATTTGATACAATTTCTCTCACTCGATGAATAATAGATCACAAGCGTAAAAGGATTACGGAGCTCCAGAAACCCATACGAAATATCTAGGACAGAAATACATAGTTCCCAATGTTTTCGAAGATTTCGTTATTTTCTTTCAATTTTGAACTTTTTTCAAATATCTGGCCCATCGGGACCCTTGTCTTTATTAATTTTGAGGGGTAGTTCGGTCAGACAGAAGGTAGAAATATAAATAAGAATAGCCAAATCTACGAGGTGGCTTTCTGTGATGTGCTGCTTTGATGTTAATTTAAAAAAAAAGTAAGATAAAAGTGTTATCTTCGCATGTGCCTAGTTTAACTCATGCACACCTACAAAACAGATGGCATGAGTCACAGATGAGCCGCCCCCACCTTGCTATAAACTTTTTCGCGCAGCAGAGTGTAAAGCGGCCGATAACGTTTACGCGCAACTTTCGTGCATCAGTCGCCGAGAAACAGAAGCGCGCGTTGCTTCCACGATGATATCGGCACTGCTACTTGTGCTCGCAACGGTCGTTTTCGCAGACGGCGAGTGGACAGTTCATAATTTCAATCGAAGCCTGGTCCACCCATTGAAAGATGCCAAGGATAATTTTGTCTACGTGACTTTTTCGCTGAACGATCACGAAGCCATCAAGTTAAATTTCCAAGACGAGCGTAAATCGTGCGTTGTTCCTCACGAGTTGCCGTACAATACGAGGAGCAAACACAAAGTCGCCGCTCTCGGCAACGGCAAAGTCATCGTAACGATGATGAACAATCAGATGAATCGGGCTAGAATAAGTGACGCGATAACCAAATTCGACTGGAAGCTGTCTATAATCGATCCTAATAATTGCAGTTATCAGCACAAAATTATCGGGCATGTGAAGACGAGCTTCGACAACATCTTGCCGTACGTGGATACTTTTGATCTCTACGCCAAAAGCAATCAAATTAGCAAAGTGCTGAGGTTTAAGGACAACGGCGAACTTGAAGGATTTTCAGCGATTGTCCCAGATAAGAAGGGCTTGGGAATAAAAGTCGCCAAAGAATACGATCCTAGCCAAGGTTACTACTACGTGGTGCCAAATCGTAAGAAGAGCCAGTCGATTATCAAGAAACTCAATTCGCACTTCCAGGTGACGAAAACCTACGTAGTCGAGCGTGACAGACTGTCTCAAGATCCACAATCTTACTCGATGAACTACGGTAGAATTACATTTTGCTACTTCACCGGTAACAGAATGAATCTCGAGTGCGCTGTCATCAATGGCGAATTGGATCGTGAGTTGCTTAAGATTCGACTGATCTATGAACACGCGTTATCGGGAACGACAGTCGTCAACTTCCGACATGGGTTTGCTGTTGTTCATTATCAGCGTCACAAGAATCAAATGTCCACTGTTTATGCTCGTCGAGTGAGCGAGGCAGGCGAAATTGGATCGGTTGTGAAAATCGGTGAAGTGACCGACGCAATACACTACGTTTATAGTTTTGTTATGAACGATGGAAAATTATGCGTTGTCGTCACTTTTGGCGATGCCGTTCTGACCAAATATATCGATCTTGACTGATAAGCATTAATGTGTCTTTTTTTATACTTTACTTTTTATGCAATAAATTTGAAATAGTTTTTTCGTGTAAATGACGAAATAATTATAACCTTGCACACCATTGATAGTTTTTTCTTCAAATCCCAACTGTATACTGATATCAGTGTCTCGAACGCCCGTCGTATCAAGGTTACGAAGATTTATGTGAACTAATCGAGAGAGAAAGAGAGTCTAGTGTATTCGGCGATTAAACCTCTCAGAAGACGCTTGTCCACCGATAAAGTCGTACACTAAAACAAACGTATTCGTTAATCATTCATTTATTTGGAAATCCAAAATATATCAAATGTAATTATATTTCTGCAGTAGTAACAGTTAGTTTGGAAGTAAGGATAAACAATTAAGATTATTTATGAGAATATGTAAGTAATTCCTCAAGCAGAGAGTTCTACAATTGCGACGTTATAGCTTTATTATTTAAATAACTAAAACGATTATTAGTTAATAACACTAACTAGCTAAGACAATTATTCGTTGAAAATAATATTATTATATAAATACGTTACAGTTTTTATGTGTAAAATTGTATTTATTGTATTTTAACCATTTGATTCAATTTCCATTGTAACATATATACTATCTGAAGGTTTTTTTGTGCTAAGAAATTTTTTCTTGAGCAAGTTCATAATTGAATTTTATCACGGATAATGAATAAAATTCACAAAAATACAATTCTATGTTTATATTTACCTATTGCAATAATTCATATGTAAATGAAAAAAAAATAAAATAAAATATACAGAGCTTTATAATAGACAGTGTGACTAAAAAGGTAAATGTGTCACTAATATTGCTAACGAAAACTAGAGAAATTGTATTATTAGAAAAAAAAAGAATCATAAAAAATAGTCATAAAGATTGACGCGATGAATATTCCTGTCGATATTTCACAATCCATGTTATCTGATTCAAAATGAAATTTTGTACTAAAAGTCGGCGCGTGAAAAATTCCATTTAAAAATAAGTTGTTTTTTCAGCCATCAAGATAGAAAAACCTAAACTATGAACTACAATCATCTACTGTTAATTTCATTAGCCTTGATCCAAACAACAGCAGCCAACTTTTTTGCAGCAGTTGAGTACAACTCAACGAAAAACTGGTCAATTGCACGTCACATCTACCGTTTTTCACCAATAATCGTTGAATCCAACAGCAGCTTGATTCACGTGTTAGATTCAGATGATCCGGAACACGCGATTCATATTTACTCCGTGGATTATGGATTATGCAAGGTACCTTTGAAATTGTACTTTCACCAGCGTTATCCACGACGCGCTACCACCTTGGGAAATGGCAAAATCATAATTTGGTTACTGAATTATCGACTCACTCATAAGAACAATCGAATCAACTGTGAGCACAACGCGCCTAACGATTTAACCTTTTCATTTTCATGATAATTAATATGATGTTGCATTTACTATGGTCGAAACAGTGCACGAAGCAAAGTGGAGATTCGCCATCGTTGAACCACGCAGCTGCAGCTGTGCCCCGAGCATACTTGCGATTAAGGACTCGGATTTGGACTTCAAGCCAGTCGACGTCGTAGATGTCGTTGGTTACTACGATCACTTCGAGGTCTTTTTGAATCCGTTGATGCACAACAGTCAGAAAAATATCTATGGATTCAGGTACTATGATAGCGGTGTGCCGATAAGGAAAGAAACAGGTGTCAATTCAGTGATACCTGGTCAGTACACGACTTGCGATTACAAATAGTACGATTGTTATTGTAAAGAAATTTTTGTTGAACAGATGGTGATTTGTATTCGCGCTACCATCCCAATACCGTGAGAATCCACACAGTTCTGAAACATGACTCGTCGAGAGGTTACTTCTATCTGAAAATCGAACCTAAAACACAGGTCAGTCTGATCAAACATTTCGATTACAATTTTCAATCGACGTCCAGCGTGACCTTGCGCAAATCCAACGACAGTTACGAGCGATTTGACAGCTATTCCGTCGATCATGGGAATATTACGTATTGTCGACGTATTCAGCGCCTTATACATTGCTCGCTTCTTGACAGTTTTCTTCGATTGAAAATCAACTTGACTCTCGATTACGAACAATACGTCGACTATTTCAGTAAGATTGGTCGACTGAGCATTAGTAATACACCCGATGGTGGTGCTGTGTTGTTTGTCGCTGTCGACTCCAATCACCGACTTGGTCCACCATTGTACATTCAGAAAATTGACGTGAATGGGCGAGTCACTGATCCAGTATCTATAGGTAGATTCTTCTGCGAGATTAATTACTTAAATAGTTATGAAATGCCAGATGGTAGTTATTGCGTTTGCGTTGTGTGCGACGAACTAGTACACACGAGATGCTTTCAATTGATCTTACAACATCGATGACAATAATTTATAAGAGAATAAAATGTTTGTATAAATAAATAATAGTATAGCTGTTTGGCAGTAATAATTACTGCTAATTCATTTCAAAGTTAACTTCTGTTTTTCATGAAACTCTTTTCATATCAGTAAAGTAAGCCAATAAGTTTTTACTATATGAACGTAGCTACGTAATTCTATTCACTTATCAGTCGTTATGAAAACAAATCCGTTCCAACATCCACAGTGTAGATAAAATAAATAACGAATACGTAAGGACTTGCTACAAAGCCCCTATACGAAACCCAATAAAACGCTGTAACGTCCCGCAAGAAATTCAATCACGAAAGAAGGAGGAGAAAACGAAAACATGGAAGAAAAATATAATAATGCTTCTCGGGATTCTTTTCTACAAGCGCAACTCGTCGAACGAGATAATTTTATAGCTAAACTTACGACGAAGGACTGCATCGCCTAAAACGATTCACAAATGAACGGAGTACAGTTTGTGTCTTGTTACGAAAGCTTCGACGTCTTTGTTCTGAATAGCGATACGTACGCTCCGTGTCGATATGACCATCGAGGTCAACAAGTTATCGACTTATCAAACAAATCGGGATCAAAAGCTAAGAGCAGCAAATATACCAACCTATCAAGTCCTTTCCGAGATTGATCAAGAAATTTGATCCGTCTGAGGGGTACTTTTACGCTTTACTTTATCGTAACGGAACGAGCCTTATTAGAATTTTCAACTCGGATTACAAGATACAACATGAACAGTTTGTGAACAAAGAAATTATGTCAACGTTTTTACAAATATTCCTGCTTATGAAAATTAATGAAACAACATTCTTCGATTTTTACTTTCCATAAGATATGGTAGGAAACGTTAAAGTATGTTTCGTCAATAGCATTGCTGCTCGACGCTATAGTAAGTGATTTATAAGTTATTGCGAGAATCGATGACCATGTATCTCATGAAAAAAACTTTGTTAGTGCGATCACTCGTTGTTTGAGTGAAGATTAGCCGTGAATGAGTTTATCCATTTTCTGAAAGCGAGATGATGCTACCAATGTTTAGAGAACGTGCTGACATTCACTTAAAGTTAAAAAAATTTAATATATATTACTATTTTAACTCCAAAATTCAGACTAAATATGTTTGTGTTTCTCATAAAGCCTGCTTTCCATGGTTAAATACTATATATGACCATACACGACATCAAAACCACATGTATTGTTTCGACGAGCTGATTTGATTAACGTCCTTCTTTATGAAAATGATAAATAAAGTACAAAATATGAACGAATCTTTTCGCATTTATCATTCTATCTTCGAAGTAACTTGAAAAAGATCTACTGGACTAATCATCTTCGTAAAGTTACTGTTTGTACTCATATTTAAAAAAAGTAGATTGCGTACCTAGGTTGGAAAAGTATTGGTAAGTCCATAGCACGTGAAAATTGATAATCGAGACGAAGCCTAAGTTTGGCAATATCCCGGCCGTAAAATTTTTTTCTGTTCAGTGACCTGAAAATACGTAGCATTTCCCGGCCCCGGCTCGGTCGGTAACTAGCTATATTCGGCCTCATTGGACAAAAAAATAATATACTTACCACGGCTAGGAAATTGGCAAGCCCATAGCACGTTTGGTAACCCCGGCTTTGCTTCGGTTGTCAGTTCTCACGTGCTTTAAACTTATCAATACTTTATCGGCCCACGCACGTATCGGGTTATATATTCTGTGCCTGTCTCATAAGAGATTACTCAAGCGATTTTCACTCGTGAAAATGAAAATATAGGTTTAAAATTATTTAATTAAAAAGTTGTATTTCTTATTATTTTGTACTAAGTTATTACATATCGCCTTATGAAAACGCTAATGCTTCATTAAATACTCAGAGATAAAAATGACATAAAGTCGCATATCTCGAAGTAGGTGCTTATTTGTTTCTATAATATGGAAATGAAAATAATGATTACATAAGTATGAAAGTAATATGATAATAAAATCTTCTCAGGATATTGTTTTTGTTACTTAAAATTACATAAGGAAAGAGTAAAGATAAATGGGTTATATACGAAGAAGATTATAAATAAAATATAGTCGAGTTTTTTTCCATTTTTTTAATGGTAAAGTTGTATATTTTTATCCCTTTGCAAAGAATGTTTCATCCGTTGAAAGACTATTTTGGAACTTTTTTTTATTGAAAGAATATCATAAAAACGCCGATTTCAAAGTTCGACTTATTACTCTCAGCAAAAACTTTTCAGTATACGATGAAATTGTTACGCCAATCATAAGTTTTGGCAAGTTTTTTATGGCATGCATTGTTTTTGGGTATAAATGAGATATGAAAATGTAATCCTGGCAACTGTGACAGCGGCTGAATATTTGTGTATATTTATATTTTTAAAATAAGTTTCCTATAGTTTTAATATTGTCTAATAAAAATTATGTCGCTTATAGACATTGAACTCTGTGACCCCTTTCTTTCTCTCTTGCTAATTTACGATTTACAATAGAAATTGAAAAATGAGTCTCGTATTTAATTATGATATAATAAACAATATAATATATATTCTCTTGCTTAAAAATCAAATCTGTACCATTTTCACGCAGTGTTGCTCTCTATCAATCCTCTTTCATCCGCAAAGTACGACATTCGTGTTTCTACTTGCCAATCTTGGTTGCCTCACGCTCACACAAACGCATTAAACTTCACTCGCGAATCGTTGATTTATGCGCCACCTGAAGAACAACAGCCT